AAAAGTATTATAATTTGTTGAAATGACAACTATATATGACAAGTGGTATTTTGTTTTTGGATGAAATGAAAAAGGCAGTCAGTACAGCTTTTAAAGAGTTCTGAGCAGTGTTCAGCATGTAACACTTATTTCATTAATAAATAAAACAAAATAAATGAATTTGTTGATATATATTTATCTATCTATATATATATATATATATATATATATATATATATATATATATTAAAGAAAAAGATTCTTTTAGATATTGTTTATGTTTGTATACTTTGGGAGGAATTGATAGCTAGGTTAAGTGCTGTTAAATTTTTTTAAAAAGTAAAGAAATTAACTTTTTGGAAAGTTTACTTTAGAAAAAATAGTGAAGCAAACTACTTTGGCATTGAAGTGTTAACATTGGGCAACTCCAGTATTCTGGCAGGGTAGTAGTCTTCAAGAATGTAATAAATCTGAGTTTCTTAGGGCAGTTAGTTCATTGGTAATATGGTATTATCAGTTTTGCAAAAATTTCCCACTGAAATGTGTCTTATTTAGTCATATATTTATCAGTTTTGATTAGTATAAGATATTATATTTTTATAAACAATTGTCTAGAAACCTGATAAAAAGTTATTTCTGAGTTAATGAGAGCTCTTTATAATATTAGCCTTCAAACAAGGTGCTTGGCATCTACGTTCTCCTGATGTCATATATATACTGCATGTTCCTCTATAACTAAAAAAATATTTATAAAAAGAAGTTAATTGGATTAGAAAAGGGGAATGAAGACAAAAGAGGGCGTGGGAATAGGAAAGAAAGTAGAATGAATTGGATATAACTTTCCTATGTACATATATGAATACACAACCAGAAAAACTCTACATTATGTACAATCATAAGAATGGGATCCTAATTAGAATAAGTTATATTCCATGTATGTATAATATTTTAAAATACACTCTACTGTCATGTATATGTAAAAAGAACAAAAAATCTTTCTCAGTAGCAGAACAATATTAAACTAGTTTCCTTCAGTAAAATTTCAAGTAAAAAAATCAATTTATGATAGTATTTTGAGAATCACACCAAACCTAGCACAGGGCAACAAAACAGTAGAAATGGTAATTTAACTAGGTCCTCATTGAATCACTGGATATTTGTGGGAGCCCACAACTGTCAGACACTCTGGAAAGAGCAAAGGTACAATTATGAGCAGACATATTGTGCTTGTGTTGTTTGGAATTGCTGGAGGACAATGATGAAATGATACCAAATACATATACACATCCATATATATAATTATCAATTTTGAAAATCCATGGGGTAAAAAATGAACAAAGACAAGAAATATTTTCCTGGAGGAGTCTCATGTCATTGGCATGACCTGTAAGGAGAGAATTGGTAAAATTCAGGGAGAATTTCCCAGGGATACAAATGCATGTGTGGGGGCCTGAGCTAAAAAGGTACTTAACTTTCTTCTCATTTTCCCAGACAGGAGGAACACTGTCACAGGACCACAGTGAGGAAGAATGGCAAGCAACACAACCCAAAACATAGGCCTAGCCCTGATTGTGCAGCCTCCTGGAGTTTGTGATGGGCAAATGCCCAAGCAAACCATGGCTGTGTCAACCAGTAGTTGCCTTAACATTGAATGTGGAGTTAGGCCTAGTTGTGTCCTCAGCAGTGCAAAAAGCATCACTTTATACAAGCAGACTTAGATAGCAATAGTTGTGAGAATCATGATTTAAAAATGGAATTGACCATAAATTATTTGAAGAAATAGTCTTCTAGACTGGTATTCTGAATCCTCTTTAAACACAGGTACAAATATGTAGCCCTGAGTAAACTTGCAGAGCTCAGACTAGGGTTAAAAGCAGCTAACTACATTTATTGATTACCTACAATGTTGACTACATGGTACAACTGTCTGATTTAATGTTCATAGCTATCCTTTGGAGTGGGTATCACCCCCCACCCCATTTTAAAAATAGTACATTGAGTCTCAGGGAAGGTAATAAATTTCCAAAGATAAATGAAAGGAAGGCATAGGATTCAAATGTTTGTGTCCTCTAAATTTGTGAAATTTCTACTGGATCATACCTAAGTGCAATAATTCTTCAAAGGTCACAGCCTGAAGAACAAACTTGGACATGAAGAACAAACTTGCACCATCTGTTCTTTATTCATAAATTCAGGCATTTGAACATTTGAGCATTTGCTTGCTGTGCATATAGATTGAATAAGGTATTGTGTTGCCATGGGGGAGAAGAGAAGATAAAGTGAGAAGAGGGAAGTTATACAAAGACACATAGGGCTCAGGACCTGCCTCAAAGACTTACATTAGGCAATCTATGTCTTATATATACATTATTATAAAAGTACAGCATGTGTTGTTTAAGATTAATTGCTATCCTGAAAATATGTAGGATATTGGTGGACATACAAGTCCACCAGAAGGCATTCCGAAAAGAGATCTTTCATTATGGGGGTGGGGGTGGGGGCATTTGCTCTAACGCCATTTCCAATCCTCTCTTCTCAAATTAGCCAAAATAGGAGAGCATAGAGTGAATGGTTCTGAACAGGGACCAGTGGTTGGTTAAAGAAGTCTTGGATTGAATTTAATATAATCAATTCCTAAGCCCTTGATATGATTTCTTCTCACTTTCTCCTTTCATCTTTATGTCCAATAAATCTAACAAAGACAGAATGAAGTAAGAAGAACTATCCCAGACTCTTCCATCCAGCCTATTACTTTGGGGGGGCCGTGGGGGTTGGGGGTATCTAAAAATACACAGTACATTGGGACTACTGAGTTGCTTAGCTTGATAGGATGCAATAGAGGAAGCGGAGATAAGACCCAATGATAGAGGCCTTGAATATTGAGTTATGGAATTTAGATTTTCTATACAGAAAATCTTGAATCTTGAGTTGTATGTGTATGTTTATGTAAATAATTTCCTAATTAAAAGAAATATGTTGAGATGGAATAATATTTTTTCCAATTAAACAAATAAATCTTATACTAGAAGATATTAAGGGTCATTGTTATTTTTGTTTTTAACCTCCCTTCAAGAACAATTATATACTCAGTCTATTGTTTCCCCCAGATTATTTTTGTAATGATATTGTTAGGGGAGTTAATCTCAAAATTAATCTGAACAAGAGTCAACTAACAGTCCAGCCAACATTTGACCTGTCTAAACAAAAATCTGCATATTCCAACTGTCCCTCTGACCAGAATTCACTTCCTCCTCCTTTTCACACAGGAAATATTCTGTCCTGGTGTTTCCTTTGATATATAAGGTCAAAGAGTTAATTGCTCTCACTTTTTTTTTAAGAGCATGCTCAACATGGACTTTTTATATTTCCCTGAAGCCCAGCCATCTTCCAAGTCAGATTTTAATAATATCTTGACCCATAACCTTTTGTTTCAAAATTGGTTTTGGCAGGAAATCAAAGGTAGGGGAGTATCTATATTAAATATTGATTTTTTTTAAGGATTTCTTTTCATTTTGCCCTTTCTGCCTTCCTCTCTTCAGAAGTTGACAGAAGATCTAATGAAAGGGTTAAAAACCCCTTTTAAAACTCCATCCTAAAATTTCCTCTTTCATTTATCTTTATTTACTTTTCTATGGATTATAATACTACTGTGTAGGTAACATTTCATCTCAAAAGTATAAGTGTGTCCTACAAGTATTTTAATAAAATATATTGACTTTCAATTTTGACTTTGAGATGTTCTATCAAGCAAGAATCCAATCTAAAATAAAATGCAATTTGAAGAAATAAATTTGGGATTTATATTAATTTCATCTTATTTCATAATAATACTAGCAGTTTCCATCTGTTATTGAGTGCCTTCCTCTGCCAGGCACTGTCTTACAGATGATACAATATACTCCCTGGGAAATCCATGTGTCCCTTCTAGATTCATTATTAAAGTCTTAAGACCAAATTTGACAGAATTTGGAGATTAATTTGGTAATTAGGGTTAAATGAAGTCATAAACATGGGTCCTAATCTAATAAAATCAGTGGTCTTAAAAGTAGAAGAAAGGGAGAGAGCTCTCCCAGCACACGCACTGAGGAAAGGCCACCAGAGAGGACATGGAGAAGTCCTGTCTGCAGGCCAAGAAGAGAGTGCTCACCAGAGCTCCACCATGCTGGAGCCCTGATTTTAGGCTCCTCGACTCCAGATTATGAGAAAAATCAGCTCTGTTGTTTCAGCCATGGAGTCTATAGTATTTCACACAGCAGCCCACATTGACTGATACAGGCAAGGACTGTTCCCATTTTGTGGATTAGGAAACCAAGTAAGATGTCCATGGCAAAGCTGACATTTGAACCTGAGTGTGTCTGACAACAAAAGCCTGTTGCTTAGATTCCCATCTGAAATGTTGAGGCAGAAAATAATGAATAGATATTTAGATAGCCTTTAAAAAAATTCCCAAACCTTTTGGCTGTGTTCATGTTTTTATTTTACAGGTTTAACACACATACACAAAACCAGTGCATTATTCTCATTTTTCATTCTTATCATCTGTTTTTTTTTTTTTTGTGTGTGTGTGTGTGTACTAGCAGGGTGTTATTATTTGAGCTCTCAGAATTCCATGTTAATGTTGAAAAATGTAGCCAATCTTCCTGAAATTGCAATGTTGAAAAAAATCTGAGGTTTACGAGTGCTGTATTTGCTTTTTGTAAAACATATTAAATGCAAAATATCCAGTGTTGTGCCTGAAACTAATTGGCAGTGTCCCATTAACCATATTAAAATTAACATCTATTAATTGGATTAGAAATTCAGTGAGAATGACAGCTGCTAGTGCCTTTTACAGTTACTGTGTTTCTCTGCAATCCATATGGCAGAAATCACATAACGCTTTTTTTTTTTTTTCCTGTGGAAATAAACACTTAAGATAAAAAGTTTGACTTGATGAGATTAGGGAGTAGGCATTTGTTATCCTTCCTTTCTTCCCTTTTTTTCCCATGAAAGCTGAACTATCTTGTTTTTCCCTTTCACAGGTTTTCACCAGCTATATTTTTATATCTGATTAACATCGTTCCATCATTATGGCTCCTTGAAATGCATCATGGGACCCAGGTACTTCCTTTTGGAAATTGGAATATCCAGAGGCAAACTGCTTTCACAGTATGATCTGATTTATTTCAGCAACGCTCTTTTTCAAGAGACAAATTATCAAAAATAGAATAAAAGGCCATTTATAAAAAGAATGGATTCTGTGATCTGTCAAAAAAAATTAAAATATTATTTCACTTAAAATTTAAGATTACACAATTAATTAACATCTGTGTTAGTGACTGTGTTCCTCAGACTCCCTCCCTTGCTCCACACATGATAGAATTCATGTGGAAATTTGATTTTGACCCTGGAAGCTATAGGGAGTTGCTGTGTTATGCCAGGAATCTTCAGGTCACAATAATGTGACATCCTGTAAAGTGACATTCTTAGGAATTATAAAACAAAAATAAACCCCCCTTTATCTGTACTTTGCTATGTAAATACATTTGGATTTATGGGGGCTTTTTAAAATACCGTTAATGCAGAAGAAAGGAGATTCTTTTGGGGGGTCTCCTGGGCCATCTTAGTGAAACAGGAAACCTATTCCAGAGCCCTGACATTCAGGCTAAAGCGGGGGAAGATGTGGAAACCATACAGAGAAAGGTGAGCTTACATGTATTAGATCGTGAGGACCTAGAAAATAATCTGGCTTCCAATAAGAGTCACTAATCTTCATGTAGAGACTTTTTAATTGAGCAGCTTCCTACACAGACAACTCTAGTCAGCAGGCTTGCATTGGGTTCAGTCACTTATTGTTGATGGTGCTTTTGAGAAACTGAGATGGCCAGCTAGCAAAGCCCTTCAGACTCTAGCTTGGACTTCACAATTCCAGTTACAGGACTTTTTTTACAGAAGAATTATGGTTAGTATCTAACATTTTAGTAACTTTATTGATAAATGCTTTAGACAGAATCTCTGAGAATTTGTCCCTGTACAGATTTCTTTGTTATAGGTAGTCATTTAATAGCATGTTTAGGTTATCTAATAATGCTTGCTCCAAATTGTAGGCACATGAGAGGGGAATTTAGCTCTGTGGACTATCCTTGAAGAAATCTCCAAGCAAATACAAATAATGAAGCAATAGAGAAACCATTTTCCTCCTTAAATCTTCTGGCTAAAAATCATTAAAGTGATAAACCATCTCTAGTTCTGCACCAAAAGTTTCTTCTTCTTCTTCTTTTTTTTTTTAACTATAGATTTGTTGGTTCAAAACATCATGGCTTTTTTGAAAAGTATCATAAGGAGTTAGGGAACTGTTTCAATCTCCTTACTACTTACAATTTTGAAGGGTATGGAAATAAGCTCCCGGTGATTTAAATCAATTTTTTCCCTACATATCCAATTCTATGACATGGCTATCATCCACAATAGCAATTCATTTTAGCAAATGCTTTTATAATATAAATGCATTGCACAGTTAATTGATATACAGGTCAAATCCCATTACAACAAATAGCATGCAACCAAAAGCTCTCTTTTTAATAAAAAAAAAAAAAAAGATTTTTGAGCCCCGGGCAGTACCTCTCTAATTTTCATACTACAAAAGAAATTGAACCGTTAGTAGTAATGGATTTGACACTGAGAATTAAAATGAATGCTCAGAGATTGAAATGGGCAGTGAGCTAGGATGGAGATGGTAAAAGTGAGAGAGACAAAAATTTTATATATATATATATATATATATATATATATATATATATATATACACATACATATATAGTATATATATGTATAGATATGTTTTCTTTCTCATATATATGTATATAAGATTGCAATAATGTGACATGCTGTAAAATGACTTTCTTAGGAATTACAAAACAAAAACAAACCCCCCTTTATCTGTACTTTTATAATTTAAATAGAATCCATATATATATGCTCCCATAAACCCAAAGGCATTGATGTAGCAAAGTACAGATAAAGGGGGGGTTGTTTTTGTTTTGTAATTCCTAAGAATGTCATATATATATGTATATATATATGTATATATATATATATATATATATATATATATATACATATATATATATACACACACACACATATATATGCATACATATATATGAGAGAAAAAATATATCTATGCATAATTTAAATAGAATCCATATATAGATGGTTTCCATTTAAAGAAATAAGAAATGGCAGAATAAAGTGAAGTATAGCAAATCCCTTAGCCTACTCATTTAGGAAATTAGGAAATTCTGGTTATGATAATCACTTTTCTTTTTATAGCATTGTATGTTTCAGAGTGCTTTTAGATATATTTTCTCATTTATAATAAGTTAGGCATGGTGTATACATTTCTATTTTTTTTAAGAGAGAGAGAGAGAGAGAATTTTAATATTTATTTTTTTTTAGTTTTCGGTGGACACAACATCTTTGTTTGTATGTGGTGCTGAGGATCGAACCCTGGCCGCACGCATGCCAGGCGAGCATGCTACTGCTTGAGCCACATCCCCAGCCCCCATTTCTATTTTATATAAGAAGACCTTGAGGATCAGAAAGTTTAGGAAATTTTCCTAAGGACACATAGGTAATCAACAGCAGTGCTGGGGCTTATATCCTAATGGACACCCAATCCATTAAACTCCTCTGCCTTTCTCAGTTGTCTATCCTATATTCTAAAGGAGTCTGCATTAGTTTGCATCTGAAGTTTTCATGATGAAAAAGAGTAATTTAATTTCCTTTCACATTTTACCATTTATTCTACATCCTCAATGTTCTAATCTATGATTTGGCGTGAGCAAAACATCTGTTTTATAAAGATGTTTATAAAGATATTTCCCCTAGATATGTTTCATAAAGATATTTCCCCTAGATCACCAATTTGGTACCTTCATTCCAGAAACTAGTGGAATGCATGGAAACAAAACAGCTATGACAAGTGTGACCTTAACCATTAGCGAGATTTGCTTATGAAGTGGCCTCATTAAAGTAATGGAAATGCTCTGGTCTTGATGGTATCACAGACTGGTTTGACCTAAAGAAATGCTGTGGAAATTATTAAGATATTAAAGGTATAGTTCATGAAAAAATAGCAGGTTGGTACCCAAGTCATCTTCATAGAATCACTATGCTGTGATTAATGTAAACAATGTAACTACAAAAACAATGTAAGTCAGTTTAGGCTGAAGGAGTCAAATCACTTGTTCATTGCTGTCTTTATGTAGGTATACTTAAAGAAAAGTCTCATCAATCTCTAACAAAATAACATAAGTGGAGAGGAACTCAAATAAGTCTGAATACCGTAATATAGAGTGCAAAACTATTTGTTTCCAAGTTAGCTTATACTGTACTAAAGAATGACTTTTTTCCTTAAATAACAAGACAACTGTTGATTTTTAGTGATAAGGATGTCAAAAACATATGAAGGTTACCACTTTTAACATATAATCAATCTGCCTTCACGCCTGCAAACAGAATGGTCAAAATTTGTGTCCCATTGACCAGTAAGTTCTTAGCAATAGTCACAAAACTACTCTGCAATGAGGATTTGGATCTAAACTCAAAAATTAAACTTTTAAATTGCCACTATTTTTTCTTAGAGTTTTAGTTTCACACACGTACACACACACAAAGTGTGCAAACAGCTATATTTTTGCTCCTAGAGATATGGCAAATGGCCATTTTTTAAAATTATTCTTGTCATTGTCATTTCACCCATAACAGTACTTACTTGGGTGAAGTGCAAAAAACAAACAACAACAAAAAAAAACAGCTTCTTGCAAGTCTTTTCTACTTTTTCAAGAAGAGCATAGAAGAATCAATGACTATCCAGTAAAATTTTTAAAAAAGCACGTTATAGCTTTCAATATTTTATCCTCTTAAATAATTTTTCTATAAAATCAAATGTGTAATCATGGCTATGGGGTGGTAATAGTGGTAGTGGTGTGTGTGCGTGTGTTTAAAAAAAAAGTTAGAACTGCAGATGTTTAAAAGTTCTTCAACCATTTTTAAAGCCAGTTTATAAAATATGCATGGGCTGTAGCTATGTTTTCAAGTGCTGTCTCTTTCCTCTCTTATATATACTTTTTCCATTTTTATCTGCAAGATAATAATTTTGTGCATTTCACTTGCAGAAATTTACAAGCAAAAAGAAGAAGGAAAGAAAAATTAAATCATCAAATTTCCCATACACCTAAATCAACCTAAAGTTAAAATGTCTGAACCACTGAACATAAGAAAAAAAAAATTGTTAGAGTATTTGACAGGAAAGATTCAAAATAATTGGGTTATTTATTTAAGCAGAATGGTGTTTTGGTTAATGAGGCTTCCAGGTAAGAAAGAAAGTAAGTGTTCTGACCAGGATTACATTGTTATGGCTGTTGGTTTGTATTATACTTATTCCAGGGTTCAGTAAAGGGATTCCAGGTATCAGTTATCAATTCAGCCATTCTCATGGTCACTCAGAGAGTCTGTGTCCTCAAGAGCCTCAAAGACATGTAGTTAACCCTCTTCACAAATTAACTGAAAAAGGGTTTTCTATCTCAAGTCTGTATTCAGATATTAGTAAATGCTTATGTGTTATGTATAAGCATCACATATCTGCTCATAATATCTTGGATAGATTAAAATCATTTCAAACTCTACCTTATTGCCTTTTTTTTGCATATTGATACCACCACAACCATTTTTAGCATTGTGATGTTCAATCTGAAGGACTGTCACAGAACATCAGTAGAAGAGAAGACACTGATCCCACCCTGATGTCTAAGGAGAAAGTCAATGGAGTGAATATCATTGAGACGGTGAGAGCTTTTCCTACCATTTATGAAAAGATCTATCAAACATCTATCAAACAGTTGGACTTCATGAGCATAATGAGCAGTCCACTTCTAGTTTATTCTTCCCTAAATACGTTTGCCAATTTAATTGTTTGGGTCAGAAAATTCACAAAATAATTGTATGTTATCCATTTTTAAACATTTTACATAGTATATTTTAAACATTTTACATAAATTTAATACTGTATATAACCTACAGTATTAAAAGACAATTCAGATACTATATAGTGGAGATATATACACTGAAATATATGCTATTCTAATATTTTAATTATATAATTCACACATTTGTATTCTAATTTTATACATATAATTTTTTTAAAAAGTATTTGTTTTTCAGAACAGTTTAGGTTCACAGTTAAACCAAGAGGAAGGTACAGAGATTTCACATTTGCCCTTTGCCCCCAAATATGCACAGCCTCCCCTACCATCAACATCATGCAGCAGAGTAGTATATTGGTTAAAAATTGATAAATCTACATGGCCATCTCATTATCACTAAAAGTCCATTGTTTACACTAAGGTTTATTCTTGAAATTGTACATTCTATGGGTTCAGACAAATGAATAGTGGCAGGTGTCTACCATTATAATATTATATAGAGTATGTTGACTGCCCTAAAAGTCTTGTGTTCATTTATTCATCCCTCTCCTTCCTGCCAAGTCCTGACAGCCATTGGTCATTTTACTGCCTTTTTAGTTTTACCTTTTCTATAATATTATGTAGGTGAAATCATCAAATATATAGTATTTTCAGACTTGATACCTTATTTCATTTTAGTGCTGAATAATATTTAATTGTTCAGTTTATTTATCCATTTGCTTACTGAAGGACATCTTGGATAAGCATTTTGTAGTTTCTTCATGTATATATAATGTGTGTGTGTATGTGTGTGTGTGTATTTTCCTCTAAATATTTCATTAGGTTTATATGAAAATATTTCATTTTTGAGGGGCATAATGCAAATGATATTGCTTTTTAAATTGCAAATCTAATTCTTTACTAGTATATAGGAAAAAGTTTGACTTTTGTATATCAACCTTTATTTTGCAAATTTGCTTATTATAGGAAATTTTTGATGAATTTCTTAGGATTTTTTACATAGACAATTTTGTTTTCTGTGAATAAGAATAGTTTTATTTGTTCCTTACCCATGAGTATACATTTTCTTTCTTTTTCTTGTCTTATTGAACTAGCTTAGACTTCCGTCCTATATTATTTGTTTAAGTATGTTAGAAAGGAGTTTTAGCCAACATAGAATGACTTTCTTTTTCTTCAAGGGTTTGGTATTTGGCAAAGCCATCATGGCCTATTTCAAAGTGGTATAAAAGAAAAAGAATCAAAGAATCCCTATCACTGAAACATGTTCTTGAAAATAATATATTGATTTTGTCAGTAAGAATAGAATTAACTTGGGTTTTAATTCTAATTCTAATCCCAATTTATCTATATCATGTTGGACAAGTTACTTAGTCTCTCTCAGTTTTTCATCTGACAATTAAAAAATTAATATCTTTCCTGCTAGTGTTGTTCTTTTGTGAATTAAATAAGATGTATGTGAAGTTTCATAGAAAAATATAAAGAAGTGTACAAATGAAAGACTCTTGACCTTGCATGATTTCAATCAGGTCAGCATCTGCCTTTTCTTTTATTCTCCCTGTACTTGTTCATTTGATATCAATAAGTGATCAAGAGGAATAAGTGATCAAGAGAGATAAGTGAGCAAGAGGGGGTAGATTTTGCACAAAAATATTTAAGTCACTTGCATAAATAAGTTTAAATTGTCATTCTTAAGACCTAAGACCTAGTAGTCTTTAAAACTTGTAACATAATAAGGTCAAAATATACTTTAAATTTTATTTAGAAGGTAAATGGGCAAAAGAGTTCATAGGAAATGTATTAGTAGAATATAAATTTTTCTGAGTCTAAGAATAATGACAGACTAAAATTTGCTTGCTAATTTAAAACTTATTTTATAATATGTTAAATATTCAGAATAAAAATAATAACTGCTATTCTCTTTCTTAAGATAACATGATAAACATTATTACATTTTTGCTGTCTTGATAAGATACAGTTTTAAGGCAATAATAAATGAAAGGGAAGACTGTACCATGCTAAAAATATCTTCAGGTTAGTAAATTCAGATTTTAAATCTGCAAAAGAAAACTATAGGACTCCTTTTGTGATTTTAATATGGAATTTATAAAATTTTGCTATGTATTATACTTTGTTATAGAGTATAATAAAATGAGCAATGATCTTTAAAACATTGTAAAATTGGCTATTTAAATATCATATGCGCAATCTCACTCAGAAGTATAAGGTTTAAATTACTTGCTAGTTGTAGCCTTACCTTAAGGCCCATGTTAGATGTATATTTCTTTTTTCTGTGTTCAGCAGAACAGTGTTATTTTCATTAGTAAGAGAAGGGTTAACTCCTGAATACATCTACAGATGCAAACTAACTTGAAAGCTGTGGTGAAGAAAACATCTCTCTACAAGCTCATAATCCTTCTGTCTGACATTTCTGTTAAACAGGCCAAAGTTTTTGTACATAACTTATCTGCAGTATGTGAGACGACTTGGACTTTGGGACTTCATCAGACATTCCTGTTACTGCTAATAATTGGAAGATGGCTTCTACCTATTGGAGGTACCATCACTCGAGACCAGCTCTCAGAACTTCTCCTTATGTTTGTGGGAACAGCTGCTGACATACTGGAATTTACCAGTGAGACTCTGGGATTAAATAATGTGAGGTAAGTACTGCAGTGCTTCTTTTCAAGGCTAGTACCATGCACCTCTCTTTCTGTTATTTGTATCTCATATGAACAAGAATTTGAGTATTTCCTATGTTCAATGTTAAGATAGTACAATTTGTAGCTATTTAGATACATGCTTGGAACTTATATGATGTTTATAGTATTACTACTACTACTACCACTACTACTACATAAAGGAGATTTCTACCAGATAAAAGGACGCATAATATGGCCTGTGGATGAGAACAGAAAAGCTGTGCATGCTTGTATGACTATAGGTCAAGTGGGGCCATTTTATGGGGAAAACTTCTGTAGTGGAAAAATCATTCCTAATTCCTCTTTCACATTACCAAGTACCAGGAACTGATTGTAAAATCCTCTTCTAGAGCACAGTGTAGCTGTAATTCCAAAAGACATGGAGAACTCTCTCTCTTCTTCAGTTGGAGAATTTACATTCCCTTGTGTGGATGTAGAATGGGGAAGATGAAGTTTTATTTTACAAAATTTTATTTTTAGTCAGTTTTGTTCAAAGCGCCCAAAGGCTTTTTGGTGTAGATGCCTATAAATTAAAACTTATTGAGTTGGTACTTTTATTTTTGCCACAAGCAAATAAACTCAGAATCCATGATCACATCTGTTTATGGAACTACTTTCTACCCATTAGGGATTTAAGTCTCAGTGCCTGAATGTACTTTAAGCTTGGGTTGTTTTGCACTATGCTATAAAAATAAATTGGAATGAGGCTGGCTTTTAATGCTACAGTTTACTTTATGCTGTGTTTCTCAAACAACATAACATAAAGCTGAGCAAAATATATTAACTTATTGAGTAAACTTAATATCTCAATTATAGTACAAATTATATTTATAACCATTGGTTATCTTTACAAGATCATTTCTTGTTTCATTTATATTAATTTTTCTTTTCGCTCATTAAGTTGACATATTCTTTTAAAAAGAATCAAATCTAAATTGGTACAATGTCTTCAAAGTGTTTATTTCTGTAGTTTTAATGCCTTATATTTTGTCTGTGATTTACACTGTATAATTTATTTTTAAGTAGTTTAATGATAATTATAACACAAAGTGATTCTAAGAAAAATGTGAAAATATCATGACAAATCACATAAAAATAATAAATATCTACAGTGACAGGGATATGACAATACAAAGATAACAAACTATAGCTTTCTAGAAATAAATATATACATGTTAAATATTTAGGGAAATGGGGGGTATGTTTTACAGGCTAGTCATAAAAATCTGAGAAATACCAAACTGAATTATTAGACTCTTTATGAGTCCCATCCAGAAATGACATCAAGAAGCAATTTATAGATCTGTGGTTGCCAATAAATGTTGACTATTAAATAAGTTTATTTAATTCCCCAGTCTCAAAAAAAAATCTTTGAAAATCACGAGGCCTTTATTCACCAACAATGGATTTGTTGGGTAACATGTGCCAGGCAGGGTGCCAGGCAGAGAATGGGTAGCACACGGTGGGTGAATGGTGAAGCAAGTGCTGCATGAAGGATGCTCAGTTCTACCCAAAACAAGTCTATTTCAACTCAGTGAGGTTTTAGGTAACACATGATATTTCAGGATATTTAAATCCCCCGATTCCCTTTCGGGGTCTACATATCGCTCTGAATACTTTCACAAATGTATATTTTTTAAAATTTTTAAACATGTATCATATTCCAAGCAAGCTATATCTACAGGTTCTACATATGCAGATAGAAAATATTTTAAAATGTATATATAGTGAACATATTCAGACTTTTTGTCTGGTCATTTTTTTTTCCTAAACCATACAGTGCAGCAACTATTTACATAGCATTTACATTATATTAGGTATTGTAAGTACTCTAGAGATGATTTAAAGTATATGGGAAAATGTGCATATATTATCTGCAAATAGCATGCCATTTTATATAAGCTTTAGTGTGTTTAGTGGCCTTTTGTAATCTCTATTCTACTCCCATGTACCTCCATTACTCAAATATCCTCTACACCCAAAGTCAAGTCCTAAAGTATATCTAGAATTTTTCCTGTCTCGTAAAAGCCAGGTTCCAGGGTCTGATTTCCTGTCTCAAGTCCTGCCTTTACTGCAAGAATTGACACTGTGAAATGTCTGTCTTTCAAAGGAGATCTTTAATCTTTCCCCACTGGGACTTAGCTTCCCCCCTTTATCAGGGAGAATAAAATTAATGTTTAAGTAAAAGATATTTATAATAAATTGGTTACTTCATTGTGGTCTGTTCAGCATAACTTGTTATTATGACATTTTATTTTCTCTTATTTTATTCTATATTTTGAGTTGACATTTTTAGGAGAAAGCCTACAATACAACAATGAGGGATGAGAATTACATCACAAATATGTCATATATATATATATATATATATATATATATATATATATACACACACACACATATATATATTTTTTTTATTTTTATATTTTTATTTGAGAAAGGGTCTCGCTGTTTTGCTGAGGTTGTCCTGGAACTCACAAGTACTTGGGATCATAGGAGTGCACCACCATGCTCCACCCAAATCTCTTTCCTATATTGTAAATAATATGTCAGATATCATTTTTTTTAAAGAGAGAGAGAGAGAGAGAGAGAGAGAGAATTTTTTTTAATATTTACTTTTTTTTTTAGTTCTCGGCGGACACAACATCTTTGTTTGTATGTGGTGCTGAGGATTGAACCCGGGCCGCACGCATGCCAGGCGAGCGCGCTATCGCTTGAGCCACATCCCCAGCCCCTCAGATATCATTTTTGAAGAATAAATCAATTTACTCCTTTGGCACAACTGAAGTTCATCTGATTAATTTTATGAATTTATCTAGGTGTCTAAATCTTATGATCTTACAATTTTTTTCTAAGCTGAATTATTTTAATTCTAAGGTCTAATGATATTATCAAATTATAAATTTGTGGCACCATAAATAAAATCTAGATTTAGAATATTCTCATTACTCTAAAAAATATTATAGCTTTTTGCCATCAATTTTCACTTCTGCCACCCACCATAAGCAACCACTAACCTACTTTCTGCCTGCACAGATCTTTATGTTTTAGAAATTTCATGTAAATGGAATTATAAAATATGTATTCTTTTTTGTCTTTGTTTTTCATTTGGCATACTGTTTTAGTGTTCATCCATGTTAATCTGTCTGGTTCTTGTTTTAATTGTTGCATACTATTCCATTTTATGCATGTGCCACATTTGTTTATTTGTTTAGTGGATATATATGTGCATTACTTATAGCTTTATGCTATTAAGAGTGATGTTGCTGTGAACATTCATTTATCAACATTTCCATATGTTTTCATTTCTCTCCCATAATTACCTAGAAGTAGAAGGACTAATTTTATTTTAAGTGCATATTTAACTTTTTAAAAAACTTTCACAGTTTCTAGAGTAGCTTTACCATTTTATATTCCCAACCAGCAATGTATGATAGTTCTATTTTCTCCATATTCTTGCTCAGACTTTTTTTTTCATTGTGGCTCTAATTTGTATTTAACAATGAACATTATTCATTATCTTTGCACATGCTTATTAGCTACTTATATATCTTTATTGAAGTGCCTATTAAAATTTTTGCCCACTTTATTTTGTGAAGGAGTGTACCAAGGATTAAACCATGGGGTATTTAACCACTAAGCCATATCCCCCAGACCTTTTTATTTTTTATTTTGAGACAGGGTCTCACTATGTTGCTGAGGCTTTGAAGTTGTGATCCTTCTGCCTCAGCCTCCCCAGTCGCTAGGATTAGAAGTGTGTTCCACCAAGCCTAAAAAATTTTTGTTCATTTAAATTGGATTATTTTATTATTGAGCAGTAAGAGTTTTAAAATATATTCTAGATACAAGTCCTTTATCGGTTATATAAATTCAAACATTTATACCCATCATTCCACTTATTTTTATAATGTTATCTTTTGAAGAACATAGTTTAAAAATTTTGATGTCCAAAGCTGTCAATATTTTCTCTTTTCTATCATGCTTCTTGGTGTCATATCTAAGAAATAATAAATTAGAAATTAAAAATTAAAAATCAAAAATACCTTCTTTCAATTTTTTAAAGGAATTTTAAAAATTCTTTCATTTATTTTTATTGTCCAGTTTGACTTCATTTTTGTATAATGTGAGGTAAGTTTCCAACTTGCTTTTTTTTTTTTAATATTGTCATTGTCCCAGCCCTGTTTGTTGCCCAAGCTGGGATTAATTGTTCCAACAATATTTTTTTTTTTTAAATATTCTTTTCCTATCACCTTGCCTTGGCATCTTCATCAACAATCAATTGACCACAGATGTTAAGTGATTTTGTCTGGACTTTTTATTGTGTTCCATTAAACTACATGTTTGTCTTTATACCAAAGCCATACTATCATGATTACTGTAGCTTTACTGTCACTTTTGAAACGAAATACTTGAAGTCTTCTGACATTTCTTTTCATAAAAAAAAAATGACTTAGCTATTCAAGGTCTTTTGCATTTCCTTCAAATTGTCATGATTATCTTATTCAATTCTAGCAAAAGCAAACAAAATAAAAAGAAAAATTTGTGGCCTTGATAGGAAATAACTAAATCAGAGGGTAAGTATGGGAAGAGTTGGTATCTTGTCAATATTATGTCTTGCAACTGAAACATCTCATTTTTGTTTTAAGATGTTCCCTAATTTGTCTTAGTAACATTTTGCTATTTTCAATGTACAAGTCTCACACTGCTGTTCCAAATGTTTTTCTCCTAAATATTTTATTTTTTGAATGCTCTTGCTACACAAGCACTTTATTAATTTCATTTTCATATTTTCATTGCTATATAGAAACACAATTTTTTTGTATGATGATTTTGTACCCAGTAACTGTGCTAAATTGCTTATTTGTCCTGTGCCTCAATGTGTTCTACATATAAGATCATTTGTGAATAAGGACAGTTTTGATTTTTTTCTAATCCATATGCCTTTAGTTTCTTTTTCTTGA